AGGATATGGCTGCCAACCGATGCCAGTGGCGTTCTTGTTGTCAGTTTCTGTCCAGATTGCCTGAGTGAATGTCTGGAGGTGTAGGCACCTCGGAATGATTGTGTTAAGCTAGCACTAAGTCCCTTCCCTTCCAAATCAAATGTTACAGGTTATCGCTGAGTTGATGATACTGTCGTCATCCTACGAAGTTTCACTAAGGGTGCCGGGCTGATCCCTGCAACTTCGTGTCTGTTATCAACACTTGAAGACCCTATTCAACTGTGTTTATTGTAACTAAATATAAACAGCCTTGAATCCACAACAACCGTTCACTGTTCCATCTCCTTCGTGCCCTCCGCTTTTTATTTCAGTTTGTCCGGCCAACTGGGAACCAGACTCACCGACAATCAAGCCAGATATCAAGGGATCAAAGGAATATTTCAGCAAACAACACTAAATCAATGACATTTTCCTATTGCAGATGAACCGGACCCTCACTTTTCGTAATTTCGTCACACAGCAATTGATGGTCATATGTTTTCTGTACGTTCGCGCTTTGCCTAGTCTCATTTCCATCGCATTGTTACTTCTAGATGTGTGGGGATTCATCTTGTCCTACGCCACTCATCATTGCTTTAGTAGGAGCCTTAAAGTTTAGGACGTGTGACATTGAATCTCGGCGGAGATCACACAGTATGCTGGACGATCACCTATCAACTATCGTTAGTGATAACATAACCGGAGTAGCTGTGGCTCGGGAGGCTGACTAATTGTAATGCATTCGCCTGCACCATTACCAGTGTTTCCCACTAGCGAGCCCTCTGATGAAAAATTCAGCACGCTTAACTTCTGTCTATAAACTTGGAAGTTTTAAGTGTACTCCAAATAGGCGTACAGCGTTCAGCGACATGAAGTCTCTGATGAGAGCTCGAGAATGATGGCCAGGTGGGGACCAGTCATACTTTTCAGCAAGAGCAACATGGAAGGCCCACCGTCCGTTAGGAATATGTGAACTGAGAGTCCCATGTATAAACGTTATGTTGTGCGAATTTTCGCCATATTTGTTTTAGGTAAAGCATTAACTATTACATGGTGATAATCAGGGGGACACACGTGCACTACTCACAATTTTCATTGGACAGTCTGACAATCGGAAAAATCACGTTTGCGTTAACAAACCTGAAGGAAGTGGACGGTAAAGCAGGCAGACATTTGCTAACATTTATTATACAAGTTTAGTTTGGGCTGACAGACCGTGATTAGACCACCAATACGGCGTAAGGCGTATGCGATACAGAAGCGACACTGACCTGTGGTGGTCTCGACAGTATAGAACTGAATGACTGGCGACGTGGCCAGAGCAGAAATAATGACCATCTATTGGGTCTGGTCATGGTGCTTTTCTATGCGTTGTCACCATGTGCTGCGGGTCCTTGGAGCTTGGACCTATTGATTCTGGTATGCTAACCAAAACCGATAGTGACCTCATGCGGCGAAGCATTTGTGTCGAAATAGACCTCGTTTACCTTTTCTTTCTGATGTGGTCAGTCTTTGAGGTCGATGGTTGTCAGCATGAATGATACGCCAGTGAGACGTGTCAAGGCTTCATTTTGATAGCTGCTGCGGCGCAGAAGCTCTGACCTGACTGAACATGTCGTTTACAATACTGCAGAACATGACCGATACTCAGTGTGCCTTCATTCAGCATGTTGATGAACTCATCAACAAAGCCACATCTCGGCAGGATTGAACGCCAGCCTATGAAAACCGGGACCAGAGGATATTCAGTGTGCCTATAGCACTAGAGTTATCCTTATGGGGATGAATTAATGTATCCAATGATGTCAGTTGGTTCTTTGAATTCAGGGGATGAAGATCTCAAGGTGAAAAAGCAATCACCTGGACATCCTTTTGTAAAGCAAAATCTCACCAAAAATATCGGCTGTTTCACCTAGAATGCTATGTCAAGAAATTATATCACAGCTAGGATATCGTGCCATGTAAAACATGGGGCGAACTTTGTGTCGCATATTTAGTTGGAGAATATAAACGAGAGATTACACTGAATCGCCCGCTAGCATCAACGTAATTTGCAACTAAGTATGCTTCGCTGACCGGTTGCTTCACTCCAAGGCGGAACTATCGACGTTGGTCATTCGGAGTTTTTGTAATTTTCCTCGATTCAGCTCATATCAAAGCTAGGTTTGTCACAACAATCCCCCACCCCCACATTACAAATTCAGCGTGAATTCTTGAAGGCTGTTAGATGAAACCGCGATGAGGTATTTATTATTACCACCATAATTTGGGACCATGTGAGGTCTAGGCTGCTGCCTGTCAAATTGAACAGCTGCAGCCTGCTGTTGATGTCGTTGAAAAAGGTTGCGTAAGAAACTAATACGGCTGCGCATCAGCCTACTGCGCAGCGCAACAATCATGTGGAACAGAGCCGTGCGATTATGCCCCCACGTCGGAATCACGTCCGATTTCATCATGTGCCGGAGAAAGGTCAAATAAGGACACAGAATGTTCACACCCACTCCATGGCCAAGGCATCCCGTACACAAGCGCACAGACGGCCATCTACGATCAATCGAGACAAAGGAACAACCGCCCGAGGACCAGTGTGGGTGTGTGGGAGACACACTGGTTGGTTGACAGCGGATCGACCGTCAAATACGGTGACAAGTGAATCATATATATAGAAGTTTGTAATTGCGTTAATACACAGTTCCTTCAGGTCGTCTTCTTGTCTTCTGACTATAACCCAGTAGCGTCAGGGCAGGTGAAGAGACACAACAGAAACTACTGTTTGCTTTGCTTTAGACCGCCCTTGTTATTGGAATTCTAACTCCAGATGGCAGGAATTTCTGATTTTTACGTTTAAAGCATAAATTTGACATCGTTCGCTTGGGTGAACGTGTTATTTCGGTCTTGCTCACTTTATAGCAGCTCAGTAAAGGAATAGGGTGGCCTCAGGACAAACTGGACTTGAGAAATCCCAATGAAATTGAAACGGTATCAGAATATAAAAGGTAGATTTTAGGAAATTGGCTCCTGATGAAAATGTAGTTGGTTCGTATGTCAACTTTCACCGTTCCTTTTAATAGTTTTCGACTTTTGATGGCGGGTTCGGTAGAATTAGCCCACTGCTCATAAAGTTGCTGAAAACCCCCTGACAGCTCACCACCGGTTTCGCCTCCTCTAGGGGCTCATCAGGTAGGCGCAGTTCCAGAGTTTGTGTCAACTTTATGTTCTACATGATCTCGACAGATACACTCATTTGCATATCAGTTTGGCTTTGATGGGACACTCACCTGGAACCCAGCTAAATCTCTCGTCTATGATGTCTTTAAGCAACTGAATGTACTGCACTAGGCCGCCTCACGTTTCGGTTGGTACGATATTCGAGATATCGTGACGTAATAAACTACGCATAATTGCATCATGAACCAGAGGTTTAGCTATTTTCCATGCAAGTCGCCGATGAAAGCCAAATCGATATGCAAATGAGTGTATTTGTTGAGATTTGCTAGAATCTTTCACGTGGTGGGAGTAAGTTTATTTCCTGCACGGTTTGCTCCTAGTTAGTAGGGGCAAGGTACTGCGTTGGGAATCAGACGCCACGTTGAAACTATTGCCATTTCCACTTTTAAGATTATACAAGTTGCCTGTAATATCTATATGAAGATACTTAGGGCGGAAATGCATCCAGAGGAATTCGTGATGTGAACCGGTTCAGAGATGACACCATTTCTCTCACCTAGACCTAGTATGCCGCGTGAAACTCATATGAATTTCCTTATTTGGAAACAGTACGGTTGTCGCAGCCCAACTGCTTTATTTCAACCAACTACCACGAATTTCTTGCGATGTTTCTAAGATGCGAAGATTATCCAATGATACATCGTTCTGCCATACCTCAACTCAACTTCTTCCAGCTGTATTGTTCTCACCATCACCATCGAGCGTAATGAGAATTGGCGTAGCGTACAGGTTGATCGGTAGACTTGACTGTGTACTGAAGCTTCTCGGCTATTTCCTTGAATAGCAGTCCTAATGTCCTATATTCAGCAACGCTATTTGCCACACAGGTGGGTGGTTTGCAGCTCCAGAATCTTGTGACGATGTTCTTGTCGTTAACTTCAACCTACTTTAACAAAAATAAGTAGGTAGGAAATCTTTGAGGGAGATTGCGCGCCCGTCAGCAGCACGCCCAATAAATGGTGGACTGAAAACATCGGTAGTTGTTTGAACTCCATTTTCAGTCAGTATATCCTAATGCGAGTCGCGCAGAGACTGGCTGGTCTTGCAAGCTCCACTAAACTAAATTTTCTAACCCCCCAAGAAGATTTTACTGGGTGAGTGATAGTTTTTCAATCATATGGGGCCATCTAGGACTGAAAATTACAGGTTCATTCCAGTTTTTTTCACTTTCAAAAGGTGGTTAACTTCTTGGCTCAGAAGTTTGAGAGGAAGAGGGTTGGCTGATGCACAGCTAACCTGCATGGATCTAGAGATAAAGCTGTCAGTCTGTTGCACAACTGGACGCAAAGTTACCTTGTGATCAGGAATCATCCGAACAAAATAACCGGTGAAATATAGGAAACAGGAATGAAGCGACCACACACGTTTGACCACTTGCCAATCCACAAGGTAGAGATCATATGAGAGCATGAGGAATGGTAATCAGTCCAAAACCTCCCTTTGTAAGGCAGCCTCGAACTCACCCGTTTCGAATGTAGGTGGTCTACGGGTCTCACTGCTCTCGGTAAACAGTGCACTGTTGGCCGAAATTGTTAGTGCGTCCATCTAAGTCCTGCAGCACAAAGTCTAAAAATTAACGAGGAGTTACCCCAACGGGTTTCATGCACGCTGACATACCGAGCGGTAACAAGTTCGCCGACCGACGGATTTTAACTCTGTGGATGAATGTTTTCTACCACTGCGAGGCACACGTTCAAAGACGGACGGCGTGAAACCCAGGCCCAGGTGGGAAGAACAGTGAAGTCCATTCACATAATAAAATGTGCCACCTGCAAGATAGATTGCTGGTTTGTGAATTCACATGGCATATGGGCGGAAACCCACAGTAACCAATCCAACCAACGTGGGATTTTTTTAAAATCCCACTATTCCCGGTTCAACATCGTTTAGACGAAACACAAGTCATGGTTGATTCCTCACCAAGGCCCGGAGCTCACGTGATTCCAATCAGTTTCGAACAGCAAATTGAAAAAGTAATTGGTCCTTATCGTCCAGTTACTGAATCCTTTTTTTCCTGCCCCAGGTGGCTGATCTGGGGCTGTTGTGGAAGTGAATAGCGACCTGGACTGACTGAGCGGAGAAATTGTAGATGTATGTTCTAATTGGATTTCAATCCGTCCACATGATTAGACAGGAACTGTCCACAATAGCTCTGTTTTGATAATTTATAATGAGACAATTTGTTAAGCTTTCAATATGCTGATTCTTGCACTGGGATCACACCGAGCTTAGTGCCGTTCCATAACGTTTTAGCACGCAACTTGTCGTTTTACGTGTTCTGTGCTTATGACATTGAAACCCAGTAAAATCGAAGTGAACCACTGGCTTGATTGATGATGCGA